AGAGACTGGAATATATCTTGTATAAGATTCTTAGGTGAAAAGAAGAGAAAACAACTTTTTATTGGTGCTACATCTCTTCATGCTAGTGAAGCATCATATAAGAGGCAAAAACAGAAAAAAAACAAAACACAAAGTCACTTTCTACTTTGAAAACACTTGAAGACATAATATTGGTCCTGGGAAAGACATTCTACTCTACAATCCAATAAAATGATTGAAGAAGATACAAAACCCTAGAGAATACAAACATAATGTTACAAGAGATAAAGAACACATTTCGGAGAAAAAAAACACACAAGTTGTCAAATTATCTAAAATACTATGAGTATATATTAAATACAAAAAAAAAAAAAATCTTATACCCAGACATGTCTCAGTGTAAAAAATAACCCAATTGCACACAGAATTTTTGAAGAGCAAGAGGATTAAGTTTGCAAGAAACTAGAAAAAATAAACAACCAAGGAAATCTATAATTGTCAATTTATGTACTCCCCTTCTTATACAAACCACTTTAAAATTACTCTCAAGCCAGATATTTAATTTACTTTAACACAGTCATAGTATATTATGCAACTCCAACTATGGGGAAGAATCTTTGGCACTACAGCAATAATAGAACAGAATCATTCAAAATTTGCATTTTCTGGCAAACACACATAAACTAATTCCAGCTCTTCACTAACACTATCTTATCTTCTTTCCAAAGTTTTTCTTAAATTTTACAAGTGACATATTTCTAGATATCTGAACTGGAAATTATTCATTCCTAGACTAAAGGTGGTAGTCCCCATGCTAACCCCTCCTTGATATTACAAGGCATCAAAATATCTCACCATATTTTTCTTTCCCATCTTCCTATAATCAGGAATTTCCTGATTATAGTCGTTGATGGGATAATTGCAAGATTAATTTCATTAGACAAACCACACAACTCAATTCAATATAATAATATGTGGACAATAAACTAGAACCTCATGGCTAGATAAGAGAGTTTGATTTGAAGTATAAACAGCAAACTGTCAATTGAAATATTTGGCCTTCCAGGAAATTTAGCAGGCACTCACCGAACATACAACTATTGTGTCACTGCTTTTTAAGAAATCTTAAAACTATCATTTAAAATTCAATCTGTTCCATAACTTCCACAAATAAAATTTAACTTTAATAAAATCTAAAATAAATTTACACCTAGGAACAAAATCACAGCAGACTAATCACAAGGGGCCTAGGAAGAAAGACTTTTATGAAATTCACATAAAATTTATAAAAAAGAACAACCTGAAAGTACTAAGAAGACAAGCTCCACATTATAAATCACTTAAAAGTCAATGTGTGAAATTTACTAGTATAGTAGCCTACTTACATTCTCCTGAAACTTCTAAATGACATTAAAAATGTATAAATAACTAATATACAATTATATTACTTAAAGCTGCTGTATAAAATGATTTCAATACTTCATATTGTTCTCATCACAGAGAAGATACATAAGTCAGTCTAGCTTTTGTTCCATATTATATTTGTTTTAACGCTTGGATATTTGACAATATATCTTTTTCTTTTTAATTGAATTGAGTTACCAAGATGTGCTATAGATGACTCTCTTTTCATTTATACTACCCAGAAATAAGCTCTTTTCATCTATAAAGAGAGATCTTTTCAGCTCAGAAACTTTTTATCAATTATATCTTTGATCATTGCCTCTGCTCCATTTTTTTCCCTAAAGAAAAATCTATAATTCTTTTAACAAACTTATGTTCCCAAGAACAATAAGAAGGGGTTTCGGGGATGAATGAAAAAGGTGAAAGAGATTAAAAAGTACACATTGAAAGTTATAAAAATAATCACAAGGATGTAAAGTACAGTGTAGGGATTACTGTCAATAACATTGTAATAACTTTGTATGGTGTCAGATGGGTACTAGACATTGAGTTGATCACTTTGGAAGGAATTTTAGGGATAAAATAGGGAAATTTAGGGAGTCTTAGAAATAAAGAGGGCCCATGAGAGAGGAAAGCATATGTGAGAACTTGGAGCCACCAGAAGACACACATTCACAGAGAACAGAAAGATGCCACAGGGGAGAGGAAAACCATTCCACAGAGTATAAAGAAAAGTCAGAGTATGGGGAAAAAGAAAACATACTTTCACAGAGGATAGAGAAATGTCAACAGATGCTGGAAAGAGGAAAACATAGGTTCTTAGGAGATAAAGGGATGTTGCAAGATAAGGGGGAGAAAAAGAGGGAGGCAACATAGGTTTTGGACTTTGAAGATGATACTCTGCAAAAGAGTGACCAATTAGAAAAGCACAAGGTCAATAAAATAGGGAAGGGTCCAATCAGAAGAGAGCATTAAGTTGCAAATCAAAAAGACAATGTGGTACCATCTCACACCTGTCAGAATGGCTATCATCAACAAATCAACAAATGACAAGTGTTGGAGGGGATGCAGAGAAAAAGGAACTCTCATGCACTGCTGGTGGGAATGCAGTGGAGAACAGTATGGGGTTTCCTCAAAAAACTAAAAATGGAACTCCCATTTGACCCAATGATCCCACTTTTAGAAATATATCCAAAGAAACTAGAAACATCAATTAGAAAGGATATATGCACCACTATGTTCCTAGCAGCACAATTTACAATAGCTAAGATTTGGAAACAGCCTAAGTGCCCATCAGCAGATGAGTGGATTAAAAAACTGTGGTACATCTACACAATGGAATACTAAGCTGCAGTAAAAAAGGAGTTCTTACCATTTGCAACAACATAGATGGGACTGGAGAGCATTATGCTAAGTGAAATAAGCCAGGCAGAGAAAGATAAATATCACATGGTCTCACTCATTTATGGGATATAATGAACAACATAAACTGATGAGCAAAAACAGATCCAGAGAAACATTGATCAGACCATCAAACCTCAGAGGGAAGGTAGGGGAGGATGGGGGTAAGAGGAAGAGAGCAACCAAAAAACTTATATGCATGCATATAAGCCTAACCAATGGATACAGACAACAGGGGGGTGAGGGCATGAATGGGGAAGGATGGGGGAGTAATGGGGTAATAAGGATACATATGTAACACCTTAATCAATAAAGAAATTAAAAAAGAGAGAGAGAGAACTATAACCTTTATAAACCTTAGAAAAAGGGGGTTTAGTGGGTCACCCCCTTGGGAATCCCTCCCTTCATAAGAGTCTGTATTTGCTTCCAATAAATTTCTACCCTTTTACTAACAAGTCCTTTTAGTCCACAAATTTTATTCTTCAAATTTTGTGAGGCAAGAACCGGCAAGGGGGAGATCCACTCTCCACACCCCATGTTTAAACTTCATTAAATATCACTATGTTGTATACCTCACACTAATATAATATTGTATGTCAACTGCAATTGAAAATTTTTAAAATATCTGTAGGTTTTTTGTTGTTGTTGAAATCCTGTCGTTTATAGCCATATATCTATAATTGTCTTTCTCATTACCATTCATCTTCCTTTTCTCTGCATTCTTAAAAAGTATCTCAAGAGTTTTAATTTTTTAAATTCATGTCAGTGATACACCTTTTCACAATGTCTGCTTTACTCTTCAGAATCACTAATGATGTTGTTCTAGCCTCCCAATGATCTTTTCTACAGCACTCCTCCCATTTTCATATCTTGTCCTTTCATTTCAGCCTTTTGCTTCCTGTCATATTTTGCCTCGAGATCACGACTCAACCATTTGGAGAATTCCAAAGAGGTTTCATTAAAAAAAATTTTCTGGTCTCTGTAATAAATCATTTTTATGGGGTAAGTTGTTCTTCTGAGTCTTCACACTATTCCCATTTTTGTCATTTTGTAGAACTTTGTCATAGGTTTCTGATAGTAACTTTTCCATTTATTTACTCTCATAGAAGTAACATCCACACCATGAATGTTAAAGTTACCCTTGATCTTCATGTTGATATTGGTTCAGGTCTCTCTTGTCTTGAGTTAGTTAATTTGACAAATATTTATTATGGCAGATATTTGCCAGGGGATTCAAAAGCAAACAAGTTCCCTGACCTCACAGAGCCAATTTTTAGTAAGGGTAATGGACAACAAAAAAATAAATAAAATAACCAGATTGTTAATAATGCCTGAACGATGTAAAGAAGATGCAGAAATGGAGAAAAGTGTGAGTAAATAATACATTCAATGCCTGACTGCAAGTTACCAAAAGGCTACGCTCTAAGGTGGCTGTACTGTAATATTCAGTCTTCTATTCAGCCCTGGTGCCCTACACATATGAGGGGTTTTTTTCTTTAACAAAGAATAGCATGGTATTCTCCTGGCCCATGCTATTGTCAATAATAATGTCCTTGAATGGACACTTCCTAAGATCAATTGTAAATTTTCTATAATACTTTGATTCCATTTATTTTTAATAACTTTAATAAAGTATACCTAGTTAAAATCATGAATTACTCTTTATAGTTATTCCTTTATCCTATAATTTTAGGAGGTGATATTAAATTTCTCATTTTAAATAGTAAAAAGTTACATTACAAAAATACACTGTGTATCTGGGTATACTGGGTACTGACTGATGAATATGTGGTAATTAAAACATATGACTTTTTTGAATAATTTCCAATAAAAACATAAAGCATTTCTTTGTAAATCAGAGGCAGCCACCTATTAAATACACCATTATTAAGTCAACTAATTAAGTTTCTTTCTTCATTTAAAATAAATAGGGATTCATCAAAATAAAGTAAGTAAACAAAAAGTTAATTAAGAAAGAACACACTGGGAAAATAATCAATGTTACAAAAATAAGCTATATATTTTATCACAGCTATATGTTTTAACTATTAGCAATGAACATGACACAGTCATGAGAGAAAACCTAATCTTCAGAAAATATTTTAAAATTAATAAAACGATTAAACAAAATACTACCTGCCGACTAGAAAACAGAATCATAAAAACCAAGAGTCAAACCAGAAAAGTAGTAAAAGTATATGAGAAATGTATTTTACCGTGGCTCAGCACTCAGCTTTATTACATTTTTTTGTGGCAAGGAACCTTGTGATTTTTGTTTCAAATCCTATAAAAATGAAAAAAAAATTATTTTACTTTTAAAACAAGTTTTGAAATTATCTATGCACTATATTACCTTGCAAAAATCTTTAAAAAGGCAAAATAAGAAGAAATCCTCTTTGCAGCTACATAATGCCCAACAAAGTTCAAAATAAATAAGTCTTGTATGTATTGTGTATGTGAATGTATTTAGACATCTAGTACAGTGTATATTACTTGGGACTAGAGTCCATATAACTCCAATTAGGAACAAAATAAATCTAGTTCTAAAGATAATTTTGCACAAAGTTTTACTACTTTACTTTTGCATCATTATGTGTCACATTAAAAAAATGTATATCCGTTTATTGAAATTTTTAATGTTAGTATGAAAATGCATAATCATGATCTGATTATAAGCATCACTATATGAAAATAACTGATTCCACAAGTGTAAATTTAAATTACATATAAAATGTGAAAGTCTATCATTGACAAGATTCTAATGGGACATAAATTATAATTGTTAAATATCTGACTGCCCAAGTGGAAGTATAAAGAGGGCTATGATCAAACATTTCTTCAACTGTTCTTCCTTTCAATGTATGCTGTTTTATTAGCTCCTCTGATCCTAATAGCAACACTAGACAAGGTACATATTATCATCCCATTTTACGTTAAATAAATGAGGGCTCAAAGATGTTATAACTTTTTCAAGGCCCATGCAATCAGGTACAGAGGTTGAGGCTAACAGCTAGTCTCCTAAATCCTCAATCACTGCTCTACTGTTACACATCCCAGTACTGACCATAGCAGTTAAGGACTCATCTTGAAACCAGAAGACAAGTTAGGAGTATTCAAATTGAAGTTTACTAAGAACAAATTAAGGATTTACAGAAGATCAAATATCAAGGGGATTCTAATTAATGCCCAGCAAAATAGCTATTTATAATGTCTAGTTACCTTACAATATCATCTTAATAGTATTCTAAAATAGTGTATGTTTCACATTCTTTGAAATAAGTTATTTTATTTTTCACACTTAAATTTAGTCAGAACAAAACACATACCATAAATACATACTATAAATCAAACACAGACACACTTATAGGAAAGAACACACAAGTAATTTATATAAAGTAATGCAAATTATTTCACATAATGTACAAAAATAATTATTTTTCAATGTCTTTTCACTAAGCTTCTCACTCCCTTTTTCCAATCAAAGAACAAAACAAAAAAATCACATTTTTATAATGGATAGAAGAGATATCAACTAACCATGTCTAGGAGGGTATCAATAGAGTATGATTCATATGAGTGTTTGTCCTTCAAAAGAAGTAGTAGTGTGGAAGATCCAATTATCTTCTTCAAATTCATTAATGAATGAAAGAGTCTGTGAATCAAAAATTTTATAAGTTTGAGAAATAACTTAAAAATCAGTATACAATATTTTCAATTTCTTTCATATTGGTTGAAGCACCATTTTCTCATTCCTATAGGCACAAGGAGAAACCTAGAAAGAACCGTGTGTGTGTGTGTGTGTGTGTGTGTGTGTGTATATATATATATATATATTTTTTTTTATTGATTTCAGAGGAAGGAAGAGGGAGAGAGAGAAGCAACAATGTTGAGAGAGACTCATTGACTAACTGTCTCCTGCACGCACCCCACTGGGGATCAAGCCTGCAACCTGGGCATGTACCCTTGACAGGAATCGAACCTGGGACCCTTTAGTCCGCAGGCAGATGCTATATCCACTAAGCCAAACCTGCTAGGGCTAGAAAGAATCTTTTTGGTATGCCCCCAATTAAATACTAAGAAGAAAAATGATCAATCAAAAGATAACACTGACAAGTACTCACTTGAAATAGAAAACTTTCTAGACATACCTGAAACACATAAATTTATTCAAAAAATTAAGAATAGAGTTATCATATGACCTAGCAATCCCTCTTCTGAGCATCTACTAAAAAAATTCGAAAGCGTTATTCGTATTGTATATGCACCCCTATATGTGGCATTATTTATAGTGGTCAAGACATAGAAAAAAGCAATCTTCTAATGAAATGAGTACTGAAGACTAGCACAATTTGCCAAATACTTTCTCAGGATGTCAATAGCTTTGTTTAAAACAAAAGAAAACTAAACAGTAAATGAGTTTGGAAAACATTGGATACAACAAAATTTTAAATATTTCAACATTTAAAATCAATGTGGGATTTGTCACAGCCTCTAACTTCCTAACATGCCCTTATCCTATTATTATAGAACAGTTCATGCAATATCACTTAGAAGTCACAATTTTCTAATCTGTTATCATTGCTGCTGTTTCAAAGAGATGTCATCTTGTTTGTAATACCAAGTTTGATGTTTATGTTAAAACCTTCACACTTAGCCCTTTGCTCATTTTTTTCTCCTACCTCCTGTAATCACAACTTGATCACAACTTGGCAAATTCTAAACCTTTCTGTAATTGACCTTATTACAATTTCTTCTTCTCTTCCATATAGCCTATCTACTTTTAAGCTTAACATCTATTACAAACACTGTCCAGTCTAATACATTTTTATGCCATGTTTAGAATTAATCTCCAAAAAATATGTCATAATGTTATTTTTCTCTCCAGTTTATAATTATACTAGAGGCCTGATGCACAAGATTTGTTTACGGGTGAGAGGTAGTGGGGGAATCTCAGCCTGGCATGTGGCCTCTTTCAGTTTGGGTCCCCTTAGGGGATGTCCTACTAGCAGAAGAATTGGGCCTAAGCCAGCAGTCAGACATTGCTCTCAGAGTCAGGGGCTCTTGCAGTCCGAGACCCCATACTCCTTACTGCCCACCTGCAATGGAGGTGGGAGGAGCTCTTGCTACCCCCGCTGCAATCACCAGTGGTGAGCCTGACTTCTGGCTGAGCTGCACTCCCCCTGTGGTAGTGCACTGCACTCCTGCCCCCTGGTGGTCATCAGTGTACATCACAGCGACTGATAGTTCCACTGTTTGGTTGATTTGCATATTAGCCTTTTATTATATAGGATAAACATTCAATCTGTTGTTAACAGCATAACTCTTAAAAGTCATCATGAGATGGCAGAAGAGAAAGCTATAAGAAGCTGTCATACCTGAACAGGGGACTTGCAGACTTCTTACATAAGCATAAAAATAAGTAGGATCAGGTTTATTCTGTTTTGAGTTGCTATTATTAGTAGCCAAATGCCATCCCTAACTCATACATATCTGCTGATAATTTGAAAAATTGGTCAATAGTCCAAAAACAAGAGGACACCCAATGCTGCCTCTTTGTTTATAATTCTCATTCTTGTGTTTTGAAATTTCCAAATGTAAATGTCTATGATGGTGACTTGATAATTGTTCATGATGTTTCGGAGAAGTGTGAACTGCTCACAAAACAAATTCACAAATGTCAATACAATCTGAGAATTAATATGTGCTTTTCTGTAAGATGCAATTTGTACAGGGATGTTTTTATAAGCTAAAAGTAATACCAAACACTTGGAAGATATAATGACAGGTATCTGGAAAGTTGATGAGACAGAAAATATCCTGTAGCAAAAACTCAATAACCTGTACCTAAATCTCTTTCAACATGGCAGCCAGAGAGCAAGGAGGCAGTGCAGAAGAATGACTTCTCTTTTTCATCTTAGAAACTCAGGTCTGATTTTAAGCAGCCTCATGTTTAAACTTTCAATAAACCAAAAAGACAAGTGAAAAGAAAAAACTGAAGATCTGACCTTACTTTCAAAAAAGAACAAGAAGAAAAAAGTTGCTTCTTGTGGGAAAAATACCAGCATCATTATCATCCAGTGAGTGTATTCCACTTTAAATTCATCATAAACCTCAATAGATGGATTCCAAATACATATGCCACAAGAAAATTGAGAAGATATTCAAGATACTACCTTGAATATATATATTTTAAGGACTCAAATCAACTAATAAAACCTCAATGATATTTTCCCCAAAATTTTTATAAAGGCAGTCAAAATATTGTTAACAAAGCTTAATTAACATTCATTTCAATTTGTAACATTAGTTGTGGATCAATTGTTTATGTAAATCAGAAATTCACTTTTTAAATCTATATTGTAAGAAAATCAGAGCATATTTTTAATAATTTTAAAATATTATCACAGCATACCACTGTTGATAAAAAAAAATATTTAGAAGAAATAATGTGAACTATAGTGAAGCAACCACAATACTCCTTCCAGTAAGAATCTCCTCTGCACTGATCCTAATGAATGGTAGGTAGCTTACACTCCAGCATGTTGATGGAAATCTCACTATTACAAAAGATAAGCCTTTCCATTATTGGGAAGCACTGTTTACAAAAACCTGCTTTTCTAAGCTAAAGGCCTATACTCTTTGTTTCTAATCCTGCACAATATGAAAATAACCGAGGTTCTCTCCCCTGACTCATCTAACAACTTTCTGATGTTAAATGCTCCAAAATGTTGAGAATGACTTTGATATTAATACCCAGGCCTTCTTTTCTCATCCCAATTCCTTTTATAATCTATATTTGACTGGGTTTCTAGGTTCATCTACTTGCTGGCTATGCTTCTAGGCTTCCTCTTATCAATATCCTTCTAGAAATATAAGAACAACAGGATATAAAATAGGATGAAATTAAATTTTAATACAATGAAGTGAAGTTCTTTATCTCCCTGAGTTATAAACATGATTTAGATACCAAATCCTTAGTTATGAAGGTACTCCAAGTACCATACCATACTTTGGATGAATCAGATCCACTTTATAATGTTTTACTACTCCATTTGTAGAAATGCACTGCAAAAAAACATTGAGAAAGCGAGTACACTGTAAACAGATTTCTTGAAAAAAATGCTTTAAAAATTGGTGTTGCTTTTGTACAGAAATATTACAAGAGATATACATTAAAAACTTCATCAAGCCTAGTTGGTTTGGCTCAGTGGATAGAGCATCAGCCTGTGGACTTAAGGGTCCTGGGTTCGATTCCGGCCAAGGGCATATGCCTGGGTTGCGGGCTCGATCCCCAATAGGGGACATACAGGAGGCAGCCAATCAATGATTCTCTCTCATCCTTGATGTTTCTATCTCTCTCTCTCCTTTCCTCTCTGAAATCACACACACACACACACACACACACACACACACACACACATATATAACAAAGAAATGTCTTTAAAAAATATAAGCTTATGACCCCAAGTTTTAAAAAAATTTGTTTTATGCTCACTTTTCAATAATTATATTACCTGGTACCATAATCCACAACCACCCAATCTTTCGCAGTTCCTGTGATAGCATCATGATGTTGAAACAGTCCCAAGTTCCTTCTGGCTTCTGTAAGCGTCGTATAAGAGGATGATGAAAGAAATGCACTGATCTTGTATATCTGAGCTTGTTTTAGGGCGAAATAGTAAAGAATTTCAGCAGCCCTACATGCATAAAATAGACATTAAATTTCTTTATTTTGATTTATTTCAAAACAATCAAAACAATTTTAGTTTGCTACCTAAAATATGTTGAATTGACACATTTTCAAATGTGACTTGAAAATCCATAATTTCAGTTCAAACAATTTATAAGAAATATATTGATAATAAACATTTCTATTATACCACCAAGGTATCTATCTAATAAATCTATATCCTCAATAATCAAAAAATATCATTTCCCTGTTGATACAAATGGCTCTCATTCTAGATGGATCTGGAAAGAAGCCAGTACACACTGGCAGCAAGACAGGCTTATTTATGAATAACATCGGGAAAAAGTATCTCAGCTCAGCAGTAAGAGCGTGATAAATGTTTTTTTCCTTTCTTCTCTCCAAAAGCACTGAAGACATATGCCATGAACTTCATCACCAAAAAGCCATTTACTCTCCTGAATGCACATTATGAGGAGAGGTGGTGGGAAAAAGCACATTACAGGAATGGAGGACTAACAGTAACGAAGAAGCAGAAAATGATGGTCTGATAGTTCAGTGACAAGAGCTACTCTGAATGTTGAATAACAACATGCAATTATAGATAATTTAACAATAAAAACTGAAAAATGATAAACATACTCTGGCTTTTCTTGTTTATTTTAAAGAATAAAACACTTTAGCTTTAAGAATAGCTTTTGAACAAGAATATGGGAGTTTATAATTTTCACCTTTTCTTTTTTCATCAGAGGATATGATTCAAGAAAGGTTTAAAAGTTCTTTAAAAAGAGCCATGGCTTGATGGAGTAAAAAATATAAGAAGGTTCTCTAAACAAAATATGTTAAGGATGATAGGAAGAAAATCAAGGTGGCTTGCAACTGTATTAAGATATCAGGAAAAAGGGGAGATTTTCAGTGCTTTCTGAAAAAAATAAATTTCTTTAAATTGTTGAAATAATGAAAAGATATTAAATAATCTCTACTTTTGAATTCTAACCCTTCTGAAATTTAGAAAAGAATCACTGAATTTGTATTAATAATTTCTGTATATGTGTTTGAACATATCCTCAGAAACTACTGATTTTGAAAAGAATATATACAAAATGTAAGAAAGTGAACTTTAAGAATATTTATTCTTTATACTTTACTATTTTATTCAAATTTTAATTAGTAAACATTGTGTGTTTATAAATGAGCATTAGGATAAAATATATAAACTTATTTTCAAATAAGTTAAATTATGAAATTCACAATTATACTTTGTTGTTCATTTTAAAGCAGCAGAATTTTCAAATTATATTACCCATAGTTACTACTTCACCTTAAATATGTTCAATAAATTAAGATTGATCCAATAATCATAACTCTTTGCCACTAATAAACACTTGACACTTAAAAATCATTCATAATCAGGCTCTGTTTTTGTCACAGATAGTTCAGAATACCATAACAGAGAACTAACAGTCTATACAGTAAAATGCATAAATCTATATGAAATATATTGTTTTATTACAAATTCAGAAATAATGTAGTCATCTTGCAAACTTGTGAATATCCAGTCAAAAAACATTAAGCTTTTGTAATAATAAGAGTAGCACAACAGTAAAATAATAAAAACACATTATTATACCAAAGTACAACTCTTTAAGAAATTCATGTTTTTTATATAAAAGCTTCCTAAAATTTATTGTTCCCACTAGTATATAAAAGAACATAGATATGATATAGTTTTTTCATTTTTAATACTGAAATTCATCATGAAAATTAATCATCAATTCATGATTTGAACCAAATTGAAAATGAACTCATCATGAAAATTAATTACTCTCCTGGGCTACACATACATACGAATCCCTGGGATAATTTATTTTTTATCAAAAACAAGGCTCAGTTAAAACTGTCCTTCTCCAATATGATAGCCACTGGCTACAGGTAGCACTTGCATTTCAATTTATTAAAATTAAATAAGATTTCAGTTCCTCAGTCACAATGGTCACATTTCAAGCCCTTGACAGTGTGGCTACCACACTAAACAGTAAGAGACAGTATTTCTATCACTGCCGAATGTTCTACTGGACAGGAACTAAAAGTTCTATTGGACAAGGCTGGTATAGAGTATTTGCATGTTTTCTACTGATGTTGTCAGTTTATTTTTTTCACTCTGCCTCCATTAATTCTCATCTCTTACAAGTTTTGTTCTTCTAAGCAGAAAAGTGTACCTATTGAAATGTGTTTCAAATAAAGAACTGAGATGAAGCCTCTAAAGTTCTCCTACCAACAAAATACATTCATTTTAGAGTATGTACTTTGAGGCTCACATTTTGGCTACTGAGAGGCCCTATTTGCTCCTTTTGATTCAGGCCTATTTCCAATAATTTAGCCAGATTACTGACCTGTAGACAAATTTGACAATGTCACTGAATATTATCATCATGTGCCAATACAGGCAATTAATTAAAAAATATAAAACACATAATACAACTTCCAGAAAAAAATAATTACATAAACTGCTTTTCCTTCTGGAACAAAAACTCATGTAATAATTTGATTATGCTTTGGAGACATATCTCTGATTTCATTAAAACTTCACAATTACATTAAATACATCCTGACACTCCATAAACTTTTGATATTACACAAAATTCTACAGAAGGCTATGAAACTTAAAAGAAGTGAATAACTAAATGTATCTATCTAAAGGGATATGTACCTTAAGTGGGATTCCAATATTCTATCCATTCGTTTGTAAAAAGGTCTGGATGTAAAGTAGCCACTCCAGTAATGATCATCTCGGTCAGCATAAGTGAAAAAATCTCCACTTAGAATAGGGAACAGTGACTGGCTATTTGTTCTACTAGTTGCATCTTCTTTATCCAGGGCATCAAAGTAATCTGATAAAGTTCCAAACTGTATCTAGTAAAAATAAATTATACTTCAATTATTCATAGTTACATTAAAATTGCTATTGCACTAAAATGAAAAGTTTCTACTAAATATTTAAGGTAAGCTTCTAAGTAAAGATACGTAGTCTGAGAGGAAGGTGGGGATGGAGGTGGATGGGTGGGAGACATTAACCTGGAAATTTATATTCATATATGCATAGCTCATCAACAGTAGTGTGATGAAGGCCTGGGAAGAGAGGGTACAGGGTGGAGGAGGTAAAGGGGGGGAAAGGAGGATATCTGTAATCTTCCAATAATAAAAATAAAATTTAAAAAATGCAGGAGGCAGCTGGTCGATGTTTCTCTCTCATTGATGTTTCTAACTCTCCCTTCCTCTCTGTAAACAATCAATAAAAAAATATATTAAAAAAAAAACTTGTACAACTAACCATTTAGAAGAAAAACTAGATTTACAAATTTGTAGATCTGAAAACTTCTTACGTATCTGTAGAATTTAATAAAGTTCAGTGATCAGGACTTGGAATAATTCAGAAATGAAAGATGGGGAAACAGCCTATCTATACTAATAAAAGGGCAATATACAAATTGGTAATGATGCCCTTACAGTAACAACTGAACAGCAGGCTACATGGGGCAACCAGGCCAGCAGGGGGAGACAGTGAGGGGCAACCAGGCCAGCAAAGGGGGGGGGGGGCAATTGAGGGCGATCAGGCCGGCAGGGGGGGCAGTTGGAGATGACTAGACCAGCAGGCAGAGGTGGTTCGGGGTGATTAGGCTGGCAGGGGGGCGAGTTAGGGCAATCAGGCCGGTGAGCAGTTAGGAGCCAGCGGTCCCGGATTAATATCGGGCCTAAACTGGCAGTCAGACATTCCCCAAGGGGTCCCAGATTGGAGAGGGTCCAGGCTGGGCTGAGGGGACACCCCCTGCCCCTGTGCACAAATTTTGTGCACCAGGACTCTAGTATATAATATAGAGCTAATATGCTAACTAGACCGAACAGTAGAACCACCATCTGGACGACCTCCCAGACAACAAAGCCAGGGCTGCAAGGGCCAGCAGAGGGAGCTGGGGCTGCAGCCCCTTACATGAATTTTGTGCATTGGGCCTCTAGTTATAAATAAAATACATATTTTGAGCAAAATATTCCAAAAGTCTAGAATAGTTAAAACTTTTGTTAGTCATTAAGTACTTTATTATGTCATGTACACATACCCTCCCTGCTCTCCCCTTCCCCTCAGTTTGAGTTCCTATAGGGGAGAAGGGAGGACTTCAGGAATAGCAGGTCATATTTTAAAAGTGGACTTTATCAGCAGGTAACACAACACTGAATAGAGAAGTACAACACAGAGTGTCAAGCTGACTGCTCAGACGAATAGGTCTTTCTGACAAATGATTCAAATTTCCAACACATAAATCCATTTTTACAAGAACAAACTATTCTATAAATCAAAAGAAAAGACAAACATTATACCAGACCTTGTAAACAAACATAGTATATTTTAGAAATAAACAGAGAATTCAACAGGGAATGAATGCTATTCTTTTAATAGAAAGATGCTAATTTTGTTGTTTCCTATGGGTGGATTAAATGCTATTTTGATTCAGTGTGGCAGAAAAAGAATTAAAAGTAGTTCTAGCCGAAACTAATTTGGCTCAACGGTAGAGCATCGGTCTGCGGACTGAGAGGTCCCGGGTTTGATTCCGGTCAAGGGCATGTACATTGGTTGCGGGCACATCCACGGCGGGGGGTGTGCAAGAGGCAGCTGGTCGATGTTTCTCTCTCATCGATATTTCTAGCTCTCTATCTCTCTCCCTTCCTCTCTGTAAAAAATCAGTAAAATATATTAAATTTTAAAAAAGTAGTTCTAAACAGTGTATAGCACATGAGTAGAGTGATTAAGAGCAGCAAGGAACCTGGATCTGAAGGCATGGGTTTGAATTCTACCTCAAACAGTTAATGTGTGGCTTTGACCATACTATATTTTATCTGTGTGTCTCTCTGTGTTACAGCGAATGGAATTCTAAGTAAAATGCTTACAAATACTAGGGAATAATGGTGTGAGTTTTAGCTATTATTTCTCCACTGCAAATGCAAAATTTCAATTGGAAACACAACAGTGATATGAGTATGTCAAGAATAAGTTATTATGATTTTATTGTGATACAGTAAATTCTGTAATAGTAAATCAGATAATTATTTCTAAATCCTTATTTCTAAATCCTTATTAAAGAAAATCAATTTTCAACTGTTTTTCCACTTTTATTTTGGCTTCACCAAATATAGTGTCTTAAGCATGTGAATCTTTTAGGTCTTGGTTTCCTCATCTATAATGGGGATAATTATAGTACCTACTGGAAAATGTTTAGAGAATTATGTAAGTCAAATAATGTGAAGCACTTTAAAAAGCTAATAGCAAATAATAAGTACTCAATATGTTTTACTAATATTGTAAGTATTACTTCTTCCTTTAATTACTAGGAAGCAGACTATAAGTGTGTGTGTGTGTGTGTGTGTGTGTGTGTGTGTGTGTTGTGTGTGTGTGTGTTGTGTGTGTGTAAAACCACACAAGAAATGAGGGCCACAAATATAAGGAAATATAGCATTGTATTCAGACCCAAAGGTACAGATGACATCAGGGAAGTATACAATGGCAAAATATTAAATGATCTAAATATTTCTAAGCCATACCTTGCTAATCTAAATAATAAGGGATTTCTATTAGATAACAAAAATCCCTTTCTGTTTCAAATTTTAAGAAACCATGGCATACTATAGAGTTACTAGTAACAACTGACTATACCTTTTAAAAATATTTAATTTTATTAGCCAGGATGAAAATACTTCCTACTTTATATTTTCCCAGAGAAAATTTTAAGAAAGTGGCCTAGTAGGCTTTCTCACAAACCTAATTCAGCCTTAAAGAGCTGAAATATAAACCTCTATTTATGCTAGAGTAGTTTCAAAAGAAAAATATCTAAAGTAAGTTTTTCTATACAGTCTCTTGGCAGCTCAAATAAAGTAAACACTGGGACAACTAAAAATATAATAGGAAATATAATTAAATAGTTTTTAAATAAAAAAGCAAAATTTAAATCTGAAACATAACCTTAACTCCTGTATCAGGACATCATATAGGGAAAATTACATAAATTCTTAAATAAGTGTTGATGGATGGCAAATTAACTCTCTTGGCTAGTACAATGTCAATTTTTTAACTATTCAATACTCCTGTTTTTCCTTTCATTAAAAGAAAACAATAAACATCAGTTTTCAGCTTTGACAAAGTAATTTTAAATATCCCACCGAAAATAGACATAGCTTCATAAATTATATAGAAAGAAATTTGTTCAAAGATATGCTAGTAGAAGGGCAGTCAAAGCAGTCAGGACTTAAAGGACAAAAATTCTGGAATGAAAGAAAGTGCATCAAGGTTATTGCATACAAGGTTAAAACTCAAGTCAATCACTTTTTTATACATGAAATATTATATACCATGTTCATAGATTAGATGTCCTAATATTTGTAAAGAAGTTAACTGCACTCAAATTGATCCATAGATTGAATGCAATCCTAATCAAAGTCTCAACTTTTTTATACAAAAATTTAACAGTTGGTCCTTAGCCAACATAAAACTACAAAGAACTAAGGATAACCAATGCAATCTTGAGGAGAACAAAACTAGAAGACTTTTCCCAGCAAATAATAAGATCCATAAAGCTGTAGTAACTAGTATGAGATTAGTCAGATAGATAAAACTGCATACTATATAAATAGAGTTTAGATGCAGACTCATAGGAATGCAGTCAGGTTCATCATTCATGTCAAAAATGATGCTGCAGTACAGTCAGCAAATTATAGTTTTTTTCAATAAATAATGCTGGATACCCATATGGGATATTTGTTTCTTGATCCCTATCCTCACACTACTCACAGCAATCAATTCCAAATGGACACAGAACTAAAAGTAGAAGGAAAACCAATAAAGGAAATGTATTTTCATGACCACTGAGTCAACAAAAATTTCTAAACAGAACATAAAGCACTAACTATAAAAGAAAACACTGTAATATTAGATTTAATTAAAATTAAAAATTTCTGTTAACCAAAAGACAGCACTAATTAAATGCAGACTACATAGGAGGAGATAATACTGGCATAACTTATCTGAAAAAAGACAATCCAAAAATACATAAAGGAACTATAAGTGGTTAGAAATAGACAAGCAAACCAATTTAAGGGGGGAAATCATCAAAGGAGTTAAATAGACATTTCATAAGAGAAGGTACCCAAGTGGCAATAAATTATGAAAAAGAGGCTCAGCTAACCTTATTAACCACAGGGAAATACAAAATAAAATAATTATATTTGCCATAAAGGATAAAAATGAAAAATAAATCCTGACAAGATAAAGTCTGAATACGGAAGTAGAATAACTGAAATTATCATGCATGGCAACAACTCATATATCTATTTTGTAATATTGTTTGGCAATACCTAATTAAAGCTGAACATATACTTAATTAATAACCAAAAAGTTCCATCCCATTTTATACCCACAGAAACTCATATACTTGTACACTAAAACACGCACAAAATGTTCAAAATAGTTTTATATGTAATAGAAGAAAACCAGAAATAACCCAAAAATCCATTAACAATAGAATGGGTATATTATAGTATAGTTATCAAATGGATAGGGATAGTATACAGCATTAATAATGAATGAACTACTGCTATACGGAGTTCAAAACCATTCCCCAAGAAAATGTATTTAGAGATAAGATACCAACATAAATACATGGCCCTTGAATCAAATGTACATATGTGAGCTTAATCTTTGAGAACATTACAGAAATGAATTTTCTTAATAAACCTGAATTCTCACTACATAAATTGTGGTCCATTATCAGCCTTTAAATTTTCTACACAGTAACATCACTTCCCTTGTACAGTATTTTCAGATTTTCTATTGTCTAAAAAGTTAATATGTGAAAATAATAATCATGTTGGATAATTTCCTTATAAAGGGTCTGTTATGTGACTCCAGTTTTAATCTTGACTCACACAAAGCATCTGTTAAATGTTTTTATGAAATCAGGAAAACTTGAATCTATTATTGAATTATTGCTAATTTTTAGATGTGATCATTGTTTTATTTTTCTATTTTTATTTTATTTTTAAAAAATATTTTTATTGATTTCAGAGGGGAGAGGGAGAGAGAGACAGAAATATCAATGATGAGAGAGAATCATTGATTGGCTGCCTGCTGCACACCCTCTTCTGGGGATCGAGCCCACAACCTGGGCATGTACCTTTGACCAAAATCAAATCCGGGACCCTTGCTCTATCTACTGAGCCAAACCAACTAGGGGAATGATTCTGCTGTTAAACAGAGTCCTTATCATTTATAGATACACACTTATCATTTAGAGATGAAATGGTTATAGATGAAACTACATGACATCTGAAATGTGCTCCAGAATAATCCTAGGGACAAGGAGATGACAGTGGGTAATAGCTGAAATGAAAGTGATGTTGAGTTGATGATTGTTGTAGCTAATGAATGGATTTGCAGAATGGTGGGAATGTATTTGTATTATTCTCAAAACTTTAGGATACACCACCCCCTCCAAAAAAAGGAGCAAGAACTATAATCAAATGATTAATTTTGGAAATTTTTTCATCTAAGAAAAACACTAATGTATTTTCTGGACACAAGACATTTATTTGAAAATTCATGACATGTTCACCTGCTCCTGCCAGTCACACCACTAAATCATAAGGATGCCATTGTCAGAGAGAAACAATATCCTGTCAATGCTGATAGAAAAAGAGAAGATCATTGAAAAATGAACATCACAACTTGGTAGGTACATGTTTTCAACCACATAAAAGTAATGCCCCTCTAATCTTCAAGGAGTGATAGAAAATGGGAAACTCTGGAAATGGCACTGGAGTATCAAGTAATTTTCCTCTTCATGAATTACAATTTACATAAAATACATACTGTAAGAAATACTATGATGCAGGATAAAAACTAAAGCTATTGTGTTTTAGCTTTGTTTAATAATGAAGGCTCAACTTCAAAGACAGTATCATAAGTAAATTTTTTCTCATTACCTTAACATTATACTGAGGTTGTGAATTCATATAATCAAAAAGCATCTGATAATTCTTGAACTGATGATCCCATTCTGTGCGTTCAACATAGCGGAAATCATCTCCTAGTGGGGCCAGGAGCACTGTGGTGCGGAAAAGTTTTGACTTCTTTCGGTACTGATCCAGAAGCATCTCAGCCCTACAGAACAAAAAAAGGGAAAATATGAATAGTATTAAGAAAGGTACAAAGAGGCAATTCATTAAAAAGTATTATTTCAAAGAAATGGTCTATTTTACCTATCTCCTACGTATGATTTAGGAGGCAGATTTGTTTACCAAACTAATTTTCATTATCCACTTAAAGTATTAATATGTTCTTATCAGATGCAAAAACTCAGAAAAATAAAATCACATACTTATATTGGCATATAATTACTGGGGCATTGATACCCTGTAAAGGTCAATTAGAGAGATGGGATCCCAGATAGCTGTGTTTTAAAATAATGTAGTCCAAAGGGGACAATAAAGATTTAAAAAATAAATAAAATCACATAACAAATATCAGGAAAAAATAAAAAATAAAATTATGTAGTCTAGGAAGACAATAAAGATTTCTCATCTATATAAACATTGAAGTCTGCTTTGACTTACTATGCCTTTCTCTAATTTAACCTAAAATTGCCTGATTAAATATTAAAAAGTATATTTTGAATGAAACCAATTATAGAGCCATATTTTCTTTCTAAAGGAAAAAAATCAATTCAGTTAACCCCTGCCATCAATAACCTGAGTATTTTCCATGCCACCTTCAATTCCCAACAACAGATAAAGCTTAAGACTTGAGTGAGCCTTTTTGGTTTCTACCTCCCTGGGCTCTAGCCCATGACCCAAAAGATCAGTTAACTACAATTCACTATGATTTATATTTCATATTCTAGTATTCTGCAGAAAACCCTTTGGAAAATGCTGAACTGGATACCATTTGAGGAAGACTAAAAATACAAATTAAGTCAAGGGCTTATGAAAAGGAAATTAAACAAGCAGATGAACCAGGGTAGCTCTCCATGTTAAAAATAAAGCTCAAGAAATTAATGATAAATTACAAATATGCTTTTTTACTCAGTATTTCAATTTTTACTTCAAGAATTATTGAGAAGTATGCCGAAACTGGTTTGGCTCAGTAGATAGAGTGACGGCCTGCGGACTGAAAGGTCACAGGTTCGATTCCGGTCAAGGGCATGTATCTTGGTTGCAGGCACATCCCCGGTAGGGGGTGTGCAGGAGGCAGCTGATTGATGTTTTTCTCTCATCGATGTTTCTAGCTCTCTAGCTCTCTTCCTTCCTCTCTGTAAAAAGTCAATAAAATATTTTTTAAAAGAAAAAAAAAGAATTATCGAGAAGTGAATTCCAATTCACAATATAAAAGTTTATGAAATATACTCCAACAATAATGGAAAGAAGCATTTTATAGAAATTGTGAAACATTTAACTAAATTGAAGATCTCAAATGATTTTTTTATATTGATACTCAGAAATTGCTTTATAAGAATTAAATTATTAACCAAATTTTAATAACTTGATAAAATATAACCATAATAATGTTCATAAATAAAATAATGCTTAGTTTTCTGAGATTAGCATTACTTGAGTATTTATTTTTTACTAGTAATTTACTAATATTCCAAGTTTACCAAAAACCATTTTAGATTACTTACAATTAAAAAATACATGGGGCGGGGGGGGTAGAAGAAACAATTGTAATAATCTGAGCAATAAAGATTTATTTTTAAAAAATGGAAATAATAATACTTGATTTGCAGAGTTGTCATGAAGATTAAATGAGAATGTATTTAAATGCCCAGCACCAATAAGTTATAGTAGCTGATACTGTTTAAATTTCAAAAAATAAAATAAAATAAAAAATAAAAAATGCATCCAAGATTAATCACATTGAAAGAAATGAGGCTAAAACAAATATATAACTTACAAATATATGATATACTATGATTGACCATTTAACCAGATCGTTCAGGCTCAGCATAAAAAAGAATATGTGATTTTCAATGCATTCAAGGTTTACTACCGTAGGTATATATAAAAGAATCAGGAACATTAATGATGTGTCTTTTCCATTAAACAACTATTCTAACTTTCAAGCTTCTGCTCCGAAAGTGTCAACAATAAGAAAGCCCAGGGACCAGACTATACCACCTGGCAGGGTGGATACTCACTAAATATATGGTAAACTAATGACGAATGAATTGACCAACATCACATTTCAAGATGCGCAGCTGAAATTTGCTCCTCACTTTTTCTACCAGGTATGAAATGTCAAGTAAGATAGAATTGAGGGGAAAAAATCCTGAAACATCAAATCATCTGACATGTAAATCATTATCATATGTAAAATACATGGTACTAAACCAAAAACTGAACTTGATGAAGAATGGCATTTCTTTATTTTCAAAGTAAAGGAACCTGCTCAACTGAATGCATCAAATGTGTCACCTGTATAATTAAATTTCATTTTATTTAGGGTATTAGAAAGTCAAGTGCCACTAAACCAGGATGTCTGTGCTTGATCTCCATCACAACGTCAAAAGGAAGGTAATATTTGATGTGAAATAACCAGCAGGATTAAGATCTCAAGATTTATAAGAATTTTTAAATCTACCTAAATATTATATTATATAGATTCATTCATCTGTTTGACCCAGGGTACCTGGATACTACTTTCAGAATCACTGGAACTAATTGAGCACAAGATATGTTCCTGAAGGGTTAGACAACACAATAAAAGGATTACACAAAATGCCTCTCGATATTCTCAGCACCACCCAAAAAAGAAAAAGAAGGGTTCATAATAGCTATAGGTGCACTTGGACTCTACAATTGCTTATTACCCTTCAAGCAATTCCCCATCCCTGACCACCTGAGCTGAGAGAACTACCTGTTTCAATGGCACACAGCTGTTTCTCAAGTAGACAGACATGCAAGCCACCTCTGGCCCCACCTCCTTTCCCTACATAATATACTGAACTATTTTTCCATGCCTAATCAGCCTCACCCCTGAAGGTAGACTGTTCAATGGTTCTCACTGCTGTTGGAACCAAGAAAATGAATCAAGGCTAATCTCTAATCTTGGATAGGTTTTCAAAACAATTATGAAAGTCAGATTTTGATGGAAAGGATCCATGGCTTGAAAGAGGCTGTCATGCTAAATACTTTTATGTTTGTCAGAGAGAGAGAGATTCACACTAGAGTAATTTCTTTATGACCAGTAGGACTTGCTCAAAGCAAAGAGATGCAATCTCACCTTCCTTCTCACGCACATTATTTAAAATGTAATTTTTAAACATTTTCCAGAGCACAGTACAAAGATCTTACTTTATTTAAAAGGCTGTATTATTTTTTAGCATAGTTGAGTGGTTTATATTATAACACAACATTTCATTTTAATTTATTATTTGCCACTAATTTTTAGTGGAGAAATTAAATTTCAAAAGCACCAAAATAAGACCTATAAAGAAGTTATTTAATAATTCCGTCATTAGCAATTTTTCTTTAAAAATGTTCATTCCTTTGATTCTTATTTAAATATATTTAAATATAAATATTTCTAAATAAGTTTTCTATGATTCAAAAACATCACAAAGGTACAGAGATGTATATTCATCAGGACTGGGCAGCATTCACTAGTATTGGAATTGTTATTAAGTGAACAAATAATTACACTTTTATGTGTTCCATTTCAATAAATGTGCTTTTGCAATTGGGTTGCTTTTCTTACCAATTTACACAATAGGGACCAGAATTTTTATTATCAACAAAAGTATATGAAATCAATCAAACACAGTAGAAGGCTTTTATAATGAGGGCAAAGGAGTAATAACAGTTCATTATAGTTTATCTATTGTATATTGATCTACTATTGTTCATTTTCCATTAAGTTGTAATACATAACAGGCATCGTCAAGGCTCTGGCATTTTTTAGTTGCTTTAGATTTGGTTTGAATGAATATTGAACAAGGATAACGTTGGCTTCTGAAGCCCATTTACTCAACCCTTCAGCAACAAGCAACTAATGCTTGCTTGTTCAAGATGTTGTCTTATGAAATGTATTATTTTCATACCTGTTTTGGACATTTCCAAGATTTATTGTTTCTGGGGGCACTCCCCAGGGACAACCAAGTCTGCCTCCAGGAAGCCGTTTAAAATCAAACTGGCAGCATATTTTAGGATCAGGTCCACAAGTGTGAGGTATGTCATAGCTGTAGAAGGGCATCATGTGGCAAAAAATATCTGTGACAGATCCCAGATCTAAAATAAAGAGTCAACAGACAAACCTGCATTTATAAATTTTGTTTTCCCAAAACTGTTTAAAATGCCAGTACTTTATACTTATATAATGCAAGCTCTGCCCTAAATCAACAACTCCTGTAACTACTTGTACATATACCCCAGCAGTACTGAATGACCACCAGCCTGAAGGAAGAGACTCACACCTGTCTCTAATCTACCTCTTATATCTACACTTAACAGATAGAGAAGATTCCCATCCCAAATCAGCATCTGGTGACCTGGATGATACAAACTAAGCAGAAGCAAAATTTATAACCAGCTCATCCAACATTATGGCCATGTCCATCCCTGGCTGCCAGTTCCTGACACATCTCTTCCCACTCGGGTAATAGGATACACTGAGAGAGACCATTAGCTGCAGAGGCTGGATGTGGAGAGAGGAAGGAAGTAGAAGGGGGAACAGAAAGAACAAAGAAGGGTGCGTGTATGACAAATTCCTATCCACTTCTCATAGTAAGAAGGAAGCTCAACCAGGAGAATTCAAGAAGTCCTTCCAACACTCACCAATAAAGAGCCAATGGGACTTTTCACCCAGAAGGGTGCATAGGAAAAGGAGCAGTAATTTTCAAAACAAAATATATATATATATATATATATATATATATATATATATATGGAGAACCAACACTGATTCCTGATGCAGAATTGTTTATAATTAAAATGTTAGTGCCAGCAAGGTGTTGATATAATTGCCCTTGAGTTCCAAAGCCCACAAAGTGAGATTGAGGACCTAACTAGGAGTTAAAAGTGGTTATAGTTGCATGATCCTGATGGGTAGCTAGTTCTCCTTTAGTTAGGCATGGATTTCCAACTTTTCAGAAATGAGTATATGTTGCTTCCATAATATAGACAAAAGAAAGCAACATTTACATTTTAAAAAAAAAAAACTACTACTTCATTAAGAACCAGCACACACAAATAAGCTCAATTCCAAAATATAATTTTAAAGCAGCAAATTCAACTCTACCAGATAAGTCCTAAAATATTTGTTTTACCTCACATTCCATTTAGCTTAAATAATTGCTAATTATTTTCCAAACTTCAAAGCTGTTATCTGTATTAATTCTGTTTTGTCAGTCCTTTCACTGAATGACATCTTATGACACCATAGATGTTGGTCACTAATGCTTGCTATCTACACAGAGGTTGTCCCAAGTCTCAGAACTGATGTAACTTCCTTCTTTCTTCTAGGATCAAGGATATACTCACCCCTCTCTTTCTTTTCACACCATACTAATTAGCAGCCTATTTACACATTTTCATTTATCTGCTGCATTTGGTGTTGTTTGTTTTTATCAAATGAGACCCTAATTTCCTTATAGACGAGCATGTTTTCTAAACTTCTTCCAAGCAAGTTATTAATTACATAATAGTGCTAATTTCCTATTGACTAATATTTACAGGCAATTGGCATGTACGCAATAGTTTAAGTAGGGCTCCTAAAATTAACAATCCTTTAAAAAAAAAATGAATATGCTCCTTTGAATCTGATCAAACCCTCTACAAGTTCTTGTTTTCCCTACAGATTTAATTTTCCAAAAAAAAAAAAAAAATGTATAGTTAATCCTTTCCTTATTGAAACAAAGCAGTACATACAAGAAAGTTACTATCTAGATTTACAAATGATTTTTCTGAAACACTTAAGAGGAGGGTTCTATATTACACAAGGTAGCAAGTATGCTGCAATGCAGTCATTTCTGAACATTGCTTTAGCAACTAAATCCTTTTTCATATGAAATCTGACTGAGAACTCTGTAGTGGGAAGGCAATATACGCTGAGGGTTAGGAATTTAGGCTCAGAACTGATTCAAATCTTGTCTCCCTTCCTAATACCTGTTGACTTTTGGAAAATGACTTCACATCACTAAGCCACCAGGTCTTCACTATACAAAAGGGATAATAATATACCCTAATTTAAAAAATTATTTTGAAGACCTAATGAAAGAGTTAATATAATGCACATGACACAATGCATGACCCCTAAAAAAGACTCAATAAATAAAAATAAACTTAAAAATAAAATGTTCTGAATTTTAAATGGGGGTGGGAAAGGCAAAAGCCTACAAAGAGACCTAAACCTTGTCTCCTTTCACCCAACAAAGAGCTGCAAAAGTATGTCCCTGGATTGTGAGTTCCCATAAAACACAGTAAGAAAACAAGCAATAGGTAATATGACAGCTGATCTAGGAGGATAGGATTAAGGTTTTAAAAGGCAGGTCTTTACTAGATGCAGAGACAGGAGAGAGAGAAAGAAAAATGCTAGCTGAATGTGAGATAAGTGCCTTGGTATTGGTTGTAATGTATGTTTAATTGTGATGAAAACGGATACTTTTTAAAACAGAAGTGAAAACATGATTTGAAAATCAAATTCCTTCTATTTATTTATTTTCTTTATGCATAAAAAAGAACCTACAATGTTCTATAGATAAATATCTCCACCATTGCCTAAAAGAATTTCCACACAAGTACTCTGTAAAAATAAGAATGTGTATCTTAGGCAACCTGATTTTCAAGATTGGCACTCTGAATAAAATCCATTATGGCATGAGTTCATAACCCTTGTGAAATAACATCTAGGTCAAGTGAGTTCTTTAACTTCCATCAAACCCTACATACCCCAATTCTGTCTCCAAAAAAACTCCAGTGTTTTCTGCAGCGCAAAATGCTTCTTAACTGCGTAATGAACTCTCTGTATAAGCATGTGAGAAAATCCAGCACGTTTTAAAAGATAAGCCATTGTTGGTGAGTTTCCGAAAGGATCAATAGACCAACCAGACCGAGGTTTCACTCCTGTTGAAAAAGAAAACAAGCATTATTTTTTAAGTTAATAAAATAAAAAGAGATCACAACACATTAAGAACCAGGGTTCTGTGGTCTCCTGGATGCTAAGAGAAAGGAACTGCCCAGCATTCCCAACAGGTTTCTCTGAAGGGAGGATTCTGCCACGCCATGCCCTCTCAGGCTGGGGAAGCAAACTGGAAATTAATCAGTTGGAACAGAAATAAGCACTCTGTTGTCTAATAGGTAGAGAACTATTGCCATTCGATGAAGCTAGAGAAACAAACAGAATTAAGTCCTCTCTCTAGGATCTCACATTCCTGTATTTGTGAAGCTGGATAACACAACAATCTGCTATTATATTGACAGCATGCTTCAAAACTTCATATGTCAAATTTTCTGAAGGTGTTAACATCATAAATATTTTTATATTTAAAAATGTCAAATTTTGTGCCAAAAAAGAGCATTTGCATAAGTTTTAATTCATTACTTTATTTTGAAGAAAGTGCTGCTGAAAGTTATGGTGTACTAAGGGAAGCTAATGGTGAATATGCTCCATTTCAAGATACTTGTGAACGCTGGTTTAAACGTTTTAAAAGTGATGATTTTGATGTGAAAGCCAAAAAATGTCCAGGTCACTGAAAAAGTTTGAAGACCAACAATTAAAAGCATTATTGGATGAAGATGCGTGTCAAACTCAAAAACTTCTTGTAGAAAGATTAAACGTTGCTCAGCAAACAATTTACAAGCAATGGAACAGATTTTAAAGAAAGGAAATGGGTGTCACATCAACTGAATGAAAGACAAATAGAAAATCAAAAAGCCATCAGTAAAATGTTGCTTCAACGGCATGAAAGAAAGTCTTTTTTGCATGGAATTGTGACTGGTGATGAAAAGTGGATTTATTTTGAGAATCCCAAATGCACAAAATCATGGGTTGATCCAGGTCAACCATCAACACTGACTGCAAGGCCAAATTGCTTCAGAAAGAAGAACTAAAATCTATCTTCTCAGACTATTAAAAAATTTTTTTTTTAAATTGGCAAATTATTTGAACTGGCATTTGTCTGAAGAAGGTATGCAAATAGTTAATATACTAGTATACTTGAAAAGATGCTTAATACCTTTAGTCTTCAGGAAAATGCAAATCAGAGTCATAATAAAATACAATTTCACACACACTAATATGGCTAAAAAAAAAAAAAAAGACAAGAGCCAATGTTGTTGAAAATGTGGAGAAATTAAAACCCTTGTATTACTGGTGAGACTGTAAAATGGTGCAACCATTTTGAAAAGCAATTAGGCAGCTCTTCAAAATGCTAAACAGAGTTACATGACTCAGTAAGTCCACGCGTAGGTGTATACCCAAAAGAAATGAAAACATATGTCCTCACAAAAACTGAACACAATTGTATAACAGCAGCATTATCATAACTATCAAAATGTTCAACTGAAGAGATAAATAAATGTGGTGTATTCAAACAACAGAATATTTTGCTATGAAAAGGAATGAATCACAATATTTGCTACAGCATGGGTGATCTCTGAAAACATAATGCCCAGTGAAAGAAGCCAGTCATAAAGGTTATAATGTATTATTCCATTTATGTGAAATGTCCAGAATAGTCAAATCCATACATGTAAAAGGAGCTTACTAGTTGACTGGGCCTGAGGCAAGGAAGGTAGGAGAGTAAGAAAGTAGTGTGACTATTAAAGAGTAAGTGGTTTCTCTTCAGGATGTTGAAAAATCCTAAAAATAGATGGTTGCACAATTCTGTGAGTGTACTAAAACTACTGAACTATGCACTTTAAATGGGTGAATTTTATAGGGTAAACAATACACATATAAGAAAAAAATGTATGCTGAGCACAAGAAGCCAGATCTAAAAGAGTTAGTCCATATATATATAAAGTTCTTAAAATAGGCAAAAGTAAACTATAGTGATAGAAATCAGAGAGCAGCTGGCTGAAGGGGAGAGCTGAGCAGAATGAAGAACTTTCTGGAGTGATGGAGATGTGGATTAAATGGGTATGTACATTTGTCAAAAATGAAACTACAGTTAAGATTTATATGTTGTGCTGCATATAACTTATGTCAATAAGAGCTAAACATTAAAAAAATCCATAAAAATGGAATTTAAAAAAAAATGAATATTCTTAGCTTACAATACTCTTGGCTTAGAAAATCAAGGGATATTCAGTCTACTTCCCAGTTAGTGACTTGATAAGAAAATTTACAGGACTTGGCACACAGCTATGATTTATTACTGTGAAAGAATACAAAGCTAAATCAGCAAAAGGAAAGGCAAGGGCACAGTCCACAGGAAACGGGGCACAAGCTTCTAAAAGTCCTGTCCCTGTGCACTCACACAGGACACATTTAATCCCACCAGCACCAAACTGTGTAAACACCTGAAATACTGTAAACCAAAGATGCTCTTGAGAGACTCAGTGGCCAAGGTTTTCATTGGGGTTGGTCATGTAGGCACCCTCTGCTAGTATATATTGAGATTCTAGTCTCCCAGAAGAAAAACATTTAGCATAAACTACATTGGTTTCTACAAACAACTTAAACACAGCAAGCCACTCTTAGCATTTAGGAAATGCCAAGCCCCAGACGTCAACCAAGGGCCAACCTTGTAGATAAGACCTTTCTAAGGATAGCAGTTTCCGACCTACTAAGTTATCTCTTTTATGCTCAGGTATGGTATTTTCAACTTACTCTAACAATAACAACTACAATATGGAAAGAAGAAAAATAATGCAAATATGCTGAAATGTTAATAACTGGTCAACATGGTTAAGGGGTTTATGGGAGTTCTTTATAGTATTCTTACAACTTTTCTTTAAGTTTGAAATTATTCAAAATAAAAAAATAAAAAATTAATGGAGATTTTATCTCTTCATAGAAAAAATGTAAGTAATATATAGAAATAATATCAATAAAAATATGTATACTTACAATACAGGAACTATAATACAAAGTTATATTGAGAGATATTAAATGTTTAAAATATTACATATCATGTTACAGAATGCAAATATTAAATATCATAAAAATTCCAGTTAGTCCCATGTCCTTATGAGTTGTAGTGAACATGTGATTTTCCTTTCCCAGTTCTTCCTTTCTTCCCCACAGAGGACCGATCTAATCACATGCTTCAGGTGAGGCTGACCCCACAAACCCATTGTTCCGTGACCATTTCCAGCAAACTGACTAGGCCTTGGTGATTTCAGCTGCTATACTTCTGGCCACAGTAACTGGCTCAGAAATAAGCACCTGACTCAATTGGACCAATTAGGTAAGGTATTAGGAAAAACTCCTCCTGGTTGTTAGACTGTGAAGGTGAGTCCTAATTGTCCATGGCCATCTTACCCTGGGGTCAGAGCCAGGAGAGGAGAGAAACCATGCAAAAATGAGCAGTGCTCAGACAACATACTTTTGAGTCCCCTGGATCCAACCTTTCCTGAAGCTACCATATATCTGGAATTCTCAATGACAAAATTTTTTATATATATATATCCTTTTTTATATATATATCCTTAGCTAGTAAATTAAGGTTTTTGATCAAGTGTGTTAAGTAGCATATATAATTAAAACCCCAATGGGATACTTTTGCAAAAAAGTTATTCTAACTATTAAAAATAATAGGTAAAAAATAAAGTAATAGATTAAACAAGGTAGATGAACCTAAAAGACTATATATCATATTACTCATGAACAAAGAAACAACATAAATTAATAAGCAATAAATTATTCAAAAATAATCAGTATTGGGAAAATTCATTATTTAAAATAATAAAATACAGCCTCATCTCAAAATCCCCCACTTACTGCCCAAAGTAGTCTAAATGAAGGGGAAAGACATAGATACATACCTAAATTCTTTTCCAGCCACTGATGTCCTTCAATTAGTTGGTCAATTATGGCAAAATAATGTGCAGCAGCTTCATCAGGCATAACCCAGCCACCTGTCACAATTTCTAACTGACCATTATCTATTAAGCTAGAAAGAAAATAATGTAAGAATTTACATTAATATATAAGAAAAGTTCAAGTAAAAAATTAAAGTCAACATAAATATCAGGAACAGCCTTTGAATAAATTTGTATTAATTATACTAATTGTTAAAACATTTTTTATAAACTAGTGAATGAATTTCAATTTTAGGACCCTTGAGTGTCTGAGGTGACCACCCTCCACCCTAGGCCTGCAGAGCACTTTAGAAGTTCCTGTTCATCAGGGTATAATCTCCCTCACAACTTCAAAGGTTTCTGATAGCAGGAGCCACATCTGATTTATTTCTAAATCTTACAAGAACCTAGCAAAATGCTTTACTCAAGAGTATATGCTTGGTGAGTGTTTATTGGAGGACGGTCACTTTATGCATGGCATTTGTTTCAATACCCCTATATTGAAAAATCAATATTTATTTTGGTCCTACTGACACTGGTAAGTTAATCATACAAGCTACACAGAAGGTGAAGCTAGTAAATAGCACATGCCTCTGAGAATACAGGAAACATTCTAAAGCACTTTGCTCAGGATTCAGTTAAAATGTAGGCTACATAGTTTATATTTCATTATTGAGTGAAGAGTTCTAACATTGTCATTATCTGTCCATTGGATACTCCTTTCTTTGCCTCAATACCATAGAAGGTAACTAGATCACCGGTCCTAGAAATACTCAATTATTATAAGATACCTTTCTTTGATAAGGAAAAAAAAGAAATCAAACTATTAAAATTTGATGAAGTAACTGAGGAAATATAAAAGTCAAGAATTTAAGCAAACAACGTTAAGTGCCACAGACTTGACAACTTTCAACAAGATGGTTTGGAAAATGGTATAAAGTTTCATAAAGAAAAGCAACTTTAATAAGGATATACATCACTGGATACCCACCAATAGCAGCCAAGTACCAAGTCAAATTTAGCTGAAGCAGAGCAGAACCATAAAATATAGAGAAGTATTTTCCTACAAAGCATTTAACAGAAGCCACAGCATTAACACGACATCTGATTCATTCAAACATATGCATAATCATATACCAGCAACAGAGTGAATAATGGACACAATTTATAAAAATGAATGAAAAAATAATTCCTTGTATAAAATTTAAAAATGTTAATTAAATCTATACTGCCATAGAAATCACCAATGATTAGTATAATTTTGCATGGAGAACAAGATAGGTCATTATATTGTCTAAAGAAAATCAAATATTCAGTCAAACCTCAGGTCTTCACAGGCCCAAATCAAGAACCTATACTTAAAAAGCTGGAAATTTCTAAAAACTGTGTTTCTTCAAGAATACAAATTAAATTCAAGACTATTTTGTCCTGCTCTTACAGTGAACTTAGCCTCTAATTAGTTCTTTTCCTCATCTTCCTGGTGATAGCCTGATTTCGCCATCTTCTAGATGCTATTGACCAGACTCCCACTTGTTACACTTTATGCCCAGTATCTGGATGCCTGAGATGTTGGACGGATTTGGGATTTAATCTCTAGCCATCAAATATAGAAATTTGACTTCCTTACCTCAGTATCCCCATAAACATATCTTTTGGAAAACTTCAGAAATAATTTATTACTATTAAATAGAAAAATAAGAACTAAAATGAAAAATCATTCCAATGGTGTAATTTTTCATCTATATCAATTTTGCTACCTAACTCCAGTCCCACAGGCATGAATATGCTCCAAGGAACAGCCAAACAAGCAATGAATAACACATACTATATACAGCAACTAAATTCCTAAGCTCCATGCTATATTATAAAAAGGCTGTGGTCATCACGCCATCACACCGTTATGACTGATCAGCAGGAGGCTGCGTGCGGGCAGATGGGCAGGGCTGTGTGTGCTGTGAGGCATGTGCAAGTGGGCAGGGACTTGACGCTATATAAGGAGGTCACTGCACGCCCCAAGGGAACTCCCACCCTGATCAGAGACACCCTTCAGGGCAAACCACCTGGCCCCCACCCATGCAACAGGCCTCTATCCTATCTAATAAAAGAGTAATATGCAAGATTGACCATCACTCCAACACACAAGATGGCTGTCCCATGTGGTCAAAGATCCTGCCCCCATGTGGACACAAGATGACCAGCATGGGAGGGCAGTTGGGAAGGACCAGGCCTGCAAGGGAGGGCAGTTGGGGGTGATCAAGCCTGCAGGAGAGGCCAGTTAGAGGTGACCAGGAGGGCAGAGGAGAGAAGCCTCCAGGGAAGGGCAGTTTTGGGGGACCCAAACCTGCAGGGAGAGCAGTTGGGGGGACCAGGCCTTCAAGGGAGGGCAGTTATGGGGGACCAGGCCTGCAGGGGAGGGAAGTTAGGGGCAAACAGGCTGGCAAGAAAGCAGTTAGGCATCAATCAGGCTGGCAGGGGAGTGTTTAGGGGGTGATGAGGCTGGCAGGCAGAAGCGGTTAGGGGCAATCAGGAAGGCAGGCAGGCAATCAGGAAGGCAGGCAATCAGGAAGGCAGGCAGGTGAGCAGTTGGGAGCCAGCAGTCTTGGATTGTGGGAGGGATGCCTGGCAGTCGGACATCCCTTGAGGGGTTCCAGATTGGAGAGGGTACAGGCTGCGCTGAGGGACACCCCTTCCTCTGTGCACAAATTTCGTGCACTCTGCCTCTAATACAGTATAAAATTAACGTATATCACTGCTTTAGTGATTAGAACTGAAGTTAATTTAGATAGTGATGCACTGCTTTAATTCCTTTGTGAAAGGGTTTATTATATATTTAGGCTCTAAACTCATCCAAATCTGTAATTTTCCCTAAACATCACAAGACACACTGTGACTTTTCATTGCTATGTAAATTTTACAGCAGCTTTTGGTTAAATACCATTAACTAGTGCCTATATAAAATGTATAGGTACTTTAGAGGTACTTTTTTTAGTGAAACTCAAAATTCACATCAGTAAGTTTGGACTTGTATTATTAAGAAAGTAAACCTCAAACATTTCTTTGATTTTAATACACAAACAGAGATAGCTGAGAAAACAGAAGGCTGACTTAAATATAAATTCAGGAAATATGATATAAGAGGATGGTAAAGGGCCAGGATTGAGTCTGCAACCAGAATTGAACCCATGACCCTTCAGTCAGAGGGTTGATGCTCTAAACATTAAGCTAAACCAGCTAGAGCAATTTCTTTTAAATCCACTGGATATGCTACAGGCAGGCACCATGACTACAATTGATTAAATTAGTTGGAATCACAAAACAATGAAAAGACTAGCTGTTTGCATGGATCTCCCTTTGGTTAACTAGGTTTTTTTTTTTTTAATATCTTTTATTGATTTTTTACAGAAATGAAGGAAGGGAGATAGAGAGCTAGAAACGTCAATGAGAGAGAAACATCAACCAGCTGCCTCTTGCACATCCCCTACTCTGGATGTGCCCGCAACCAAAGTACATGCCCCTTCAGTCCATAAACCGAGGCTCTACCACTGAGCCAAACCAGTTTCGGCTAGATTTTCATTTTTGAAAGTCTACAGAGATGACTTACTGCTGCCATAGGGGAAAGAATCAAATAAGTCACTGCTAGGATAGATTATGGAATCATTTGAGTTATGTTTCTGTTAAATTCCCACAATCAATTGGTATTCTTCAGGGATGTAAAAGCTCACATGAAACTCTGCAGGAATTAACAGGTTCTGCTTGGCAACAGCAAGCTTGAAAATTTAGGTACAGACATTTAATCCATAGACTCATCTGAGGAAAAACAAGCCAATGCAAGACACTGTATGAACATACACTAGTAGTCATAAAAATTGTATCAGTAATGTCACTTACTACAAGCTCAGAATTTTAAATAATGGGGACAAACCTAGATAGCTATTATGCTTTCCCCCAAAACATACATTTAGGTAAGAACCACTAAAAATATTTAAGTAATAAAAAATGTTATTACCATAGTAAATCAATAAAGTGATGGTTATAGCTAGAAGGGAGGGAACTTTAGCTAAGCCTGACCAAAAACAAAATCATTGGCCCTAATGTGACGATAAAACAATTTGTTTTTCAAGCAAAATGTTGTTATTGAGGACCAGGCATATATTTCCCATTGTCAAAATAAGAGCTCTCTAAAAAAGTATGAATAAAATTGCTTAAGCACTAGAATCTAATTTGCATTCCCACACCTAACATCTTACTGTTTTCTACCTTAATATTGGGTTGAATCACATAAAACTGCCATTTTTGTACATCAAAAGCAGTCAAACATTAGTAATTTTCTATGGTCCAACATAAGTCAAATGGCCAACAGTACAAAAAAAGAGAGAGAGAAACTTGTGTCCATGAGGATCAGAAGGGGGCCATCCTCATGTCATAAAATTGGTGCATTTGAAACAGAAATTATGCAGGTGAAACTAAAAGAATTCAACAAGTATTGACCTCAACCCTCTGGCATGAAAAATAAGCATTGAGTCCCAAGTAGTAAGGAGAAAAGAATCTAAAATATTCTGGCAACAGCCCCTAATCTGGAGGGCCAATGGCTGAAACAAAGCTGGATCTTGGAACAAACACTAATCACAGTCCCTATCCTTCATCCTCAGGGTGTTTTGTGAGTCCCATCTTGCAGAGGCCTCTCCACTCCTAGGCCCTGACTGCTGCAGAGGATGGCTCCCTGAAGCAGCTACACTGAGACAGAGCCAGGCCTGGCCTCACTTTACCAAAAGCAGCAAACAGCTAGCTAAATTTCCTTCTGAGGTGGCAGACTCTTTCCTACAGTCACTGATCTAAGCCACTGCTCCTACTTGGCCTATAAGCCACCCAAAAGGAAGCTAGATACAGAAAGCCAGCCGTGGGTACTCACCTAACAAACACACACTTCATGGTTCTCCCAGTCTTCCCACTGTCCCAGCTCCTCTCTTCCCTTCCACCATGGTTCTCCCAGTCTTCCCTATTCATAACCCTTACTTCTTTCCTGGCCGCTGGGTCCCTAACACTCATCTTCCATAACCCAGCTTTCCAACAAAGATTTGAGTAATAATTTATCAGGTTAGGTTTCTTGTTTGCAAGCAACACAAACCAATGCTGAAGGAGGAATGTATGAGAGACTGTCCTGGACACAGACTACTGAGGACAGGCTAAAAGTAGAGGCTTAATAAAGGGCTGGAAGAAAACAAGAGGTCATGTGCTATTGTGCTATGGGGAGCACAGGGACCATTCCACAGGACAGGAAGAGTCTTGCAAACGCACCAGTGTTGTGAGGGATGACCTGCAACCTTCCCTCCATGTGTTTCCCTTCTTTCCATCTGTCTATCCTTTCACTCCACTCTGCAAAGATTTAAAACCCTGAAAAAATAATATATTGGATTAACTGAGCTCAGGTCATAGCTGGCCCACCTGACCAGAGGCAGGAAAGGTGGAGGACCTGATTTCTGTGAGAGACAGTTTCACCCTCAAAAAAATCTGATGAAATGAATGTTGGCCAGCCAGTATTAACTAACCCCATTGCAAAGAAACAAAGTATTTTGTTAGAAAAGAAAGAGGCTTTAGGAGAGTTACACTCTGTTTTGGAACAAATTCCAAGTATGGATACACCAGTTATTGTTCACGGATGAATAAAAAGGGGGAATACACTTGAACTTACAAACAACAATAAAAAGAACAAAGAACTAAAGGGTAATAAAAATATAGTTAAAACCAAGCATTTAAAGCCAGAACAAAGCAGACTCTATACCACAGGGAAGTAAGCTTGAGAGAGGTGGAGGGAAACCCTCAACAAAACAAAAAAAAACAAAAAAAAACAAAAAACTGCCAAAAGCAGTGAATATAACAAATTAAAAAAAATACAAGTGCATAAAAGAGACTAGAGACTCAATACTAGATAACTGAATTCTAAAACAAATGAAATAAAAACAATTAATTAGCAAGAGCAGAAAACGTAAGCTGGAGAAATGTTTGAACTGGTAGATGGCAAATTTAATAAGTTATTTATATCTATATACCTGGTGGAAATTTAGAATTTTATGGATAAAATTTTTTAAATCCTAAAAATATCTGGCCAGAGGGGTAAAAGGTGATCTTCACAGAAACATTACATAAGAAACCTTTTTTAAAGATAGAAAACATAAAATGAGGCATAGAGACATTAACTTTCCCAAAGCCACACTGTAGATGGAAGCCTGCCCTATTTCAACAAGTGCAGCCTAGCTCCAGTGCCCAACCATTCGAACTACTTCTCTAGATTGTCCTTAAAAGTAAAAAGAGCAGCACATGTTAGGCAAATCCAAACAAAAAGAATGAAAATTGTATAGTCTGCACTTTCTGACCATAAGACATGAAAATTAGTTTTTAAATTTAAAGTATAAATGGGGGGCGGGGAATTGTACTTGGAAATTAAAAATTATTATCCTAACATACTCAGATTAGGAAAAACAATAAATACAGCTATATAACATTTTATTAAAATACTAGAGGCTGGGTGCACAAAATTCGTCCAGTTTGTGTGTGGGGGGGGGGGGGGGAGAGAGGAGGAAGGGAAGGTCTCCTCAGCCAGGCCTATGCCCTCTCGCAGTCCAGGAGCCCTCAGGGGATGTATGACTGTCACGAAGGCAGGAGAGGCTCCCACCACTACCACTGTGCTCACCAGCATTGAGCCTGGCTCCTGGCTGAATGGCGCTCCCCCTGTGGGAGCACACTGACCACCAGGGGGCAGCTCCTTCATTGAGTGTCTGCCTCCTGGTGGTCAGTGTGTGTCATAGAGACCTGTCATTTTGCTGTTTGGTCGATTTGCATATTAGCTTTTTATTTTATAGGGTGTAATAAAAAATAAAAAATTAAAAGCTAGTTAGAGCAGTGCTAAAAGGCAAATCCTTATTAAAATAAATGAAATTACATTTAGCATTAGTAAAAGCAGGTAGAATGAATCAGTAAAAAATAGAAGCAGAAAGGTCAAGAGTAAAAACCAGCAACATATACACAGTTCTTTGGGAGTGAGAGGGAGTGCAAAAACCAACCCAAAAAAGTAAAAGCTTTAGCCAAATCTACTCACGATGAAGAAAATATTCAGCTTCCCACAAGTACTTAAAAATTACAGATGTGATAAATAAAAAGTACTTCAATTACAGTTGTGATAAATAAAATCTTGCAATCTAAGAAAATATGAAGTATTAAATGTATTCACGGAGTAATGTTAGACCTAAACAAACAAAAAATACTTCTAATCTTAAAATTCAAAAGAATTACTTGTAAAACAAACACCAGTTTCAGAGTTTTATAGAGCAGTTTCTTAATATAAAAGTTTAAAAACTAGTAGGTGGCTCAAATTAAACTAAGGATTCTGTTTTACTCTGTGTGACTGTGTGTGTGTGTGTGTGTGTGTGTGTGTGTGTGTGTGTGAGAGAGAGAGAGAGAGAGAGAGAGAGAGAGAGAGAGAGAGAGAAAATCTAAATTGCCGCTAACATTTCAATTTGAAAAGTCAAGATATTCTACATAGCATTTTGGAATTCTAAGTTGTCTTAAATAATTGGAGGAGTATCCTGATCACTCTGGCTCCCATGGACTAACAATGTGGCTGGAGTAGAAGAGTGGCTAGCCCTTCTGCATGGGGCAGCTACTCTTGGTTCATCCCATCACCCCCAAAGCCTATAGTCTTCATTTATGCCACCTTTCCGGCCAATCTTATAAGCATTTTAACTGTTCTATTCAGGAGAGAGAGCTCCAATGGCTAGTGATGGATAAACAGTTCTTCCCAAATTACCTTTAAATGTTTATATCAATTTTCATCAAGATTCCTTTTTTAATAGGGTAGAAAGACTATCAGTTAATGAAACATCATAATACTGCAACTATTACAATCAAACAGAAAAGTCCAGGAAACAGGTCAGAAATTCCAGAAATCAATGCATATTGAAATACAATAAAAGATAGCACTTCAAATCAGTAAAAAGAATGAACTATTTAAATCTTTGAGAAGCAGCACAGCATGAAAGGGAACAGCCTGTAGGACTGGACAGGCTGGACGGAACAGCATATGAGTGCAGCACATCCCAGCCTGTAACCATGAAAGACCAGTGCGTGCTTTATCTCTAAAATGTAGGAAGTCACTGTATCTATTTTCACAGGATTGTTGTGAGGATTATCAATCACCATTTGTAAACTACCTTTAACAGGGACTAATATAGTAAGTACTGTAATGTGATAATAGATAAAATAAAGCAATACATACTAAAATAACCCTTAAACTCCAAGGTGCAAAGGGGAGGAAAATATGGTGAACAGAACCTTCCATCATACCACATAAATAAATTTCAGAATTTTAAAAAGTGAATGGTAAAAAATGAAACTAGAGAAAAGAGGATCTATCTGACTTCTAGACTAAAGAATACCTTTTAAGATATGACAGGCAAAGTAAATATCAAGAAAACAGGTTAATCAATTTAGTCAAATTGATTTAAAATTTAAAAATGCTGAAGTCTATATATTACTTTCATGCATGTATATGCATAACCTATGGACACAGACAATGGGATGGTGAGGGCCTAGTTGTGGGGGGTGGGGGGTGGGAATGGGAGCGGGAGCGAGCTAGAAGAGGTTAATGGGGGAAAAGGTGGACCTATGTAATACTTTCAATAATTTAAAAAATAGAATTAAGAAACACTTGAGGATAAATAAGGATTGGTATGTCTATATATGCATATATATATATATATATATATATATATGAGCATAATTATAAATCAGTAAGAAAAATTACACAATCAAGCAATTTATAATACTTTGCCTATATATATAAGAAATATGCAATATTATCAGTCATCAAAAATACAAATTAAGCCGAAACTGGTTTGGCGCAGTGGATGGAGCATCGGCCTGCGGAATGAAAGGTCTCAGGTTTGATTCTAGTCAAGGGCATGTACCTTGGTTGCAGGCACATCCCCAGTAGGGAATGTGCAAGAGGCAGCTGATTGATGATTCTCTCTCATCGATGTTTCTAACTCTCTATCCCTCTCTCTTCCTCTCTGTAAAAAATCAATAAAATATATTTTTAAAAATTAAAATTAAAATTATATTTTCAACTATTAAATTGGTCAAGGTATTAGGGGGAAAGTTGTATTGTTGGTGAACAAGCAGAGAAATTGGTACACTATGATATAGAAGATTAAAGAATAAAGAATACATTGAAACAACCTTTCTGGGGCCCCTATGATTATATATTTATAAAAAATCTTTAAAATACCAAGTCCCTTTAACCTAGTAATTCCATTTCTAGGACAAAGTTGGAACATAAGATTTCAATGGAAAAGTTTCAAGTCACTTTTTAAAAGATGAACCAGAATCAAGGAAAAAACATATGAAAAAATATTTTTTAAGTTTCAGATATAAAGCTAAGAATGTTCACTGTCTAAAAATTCAACACTCATTGCACACTCACTATACAATTGTTTAGTATTACGAAATAAAAAAATAAAAACAAACCTTTTAACAGCATCCTTCTTTTGACTATCTATAGTATCCCACCACTTTGAAAGGTAAGAGATCTCAGCCCATATAAATTTCCTCCGTGAGTCTTCTTTCAGCTTGATGACCATGTTATTAAAAATATACTGAGTCTTCTCTCTAAAGTAGTCATCAAAAGTCTTCAACCAACCTAAATCAAGATACAAATATACCATAAATGTTTTATGTCTGATTACAACTCAGTGATATTCTATTGCACTACCTCTGGATATCCTTGGATGTTTCAGTCAAATAAAGACATATATAATTCAAGAAATGTTCTGAATTAATGAAATTACATTTAAATGGACACGTGACTCAAACAATCATTAAAATTTAAATTGTAAAAATACTCTGAAAACTGCACAAATTCAGATACAAATGAGAAAAATGACTTAAGACCAAAAAACATTTGTTTAAACTTAACAATTATAGTATCTAATTATTTATAATTTATCTCTAATTGAAGGGGTTTTTCTTATTTTAAAAATCAGAACAGTGTTAAGTTGGCATTATTATTCTCATAGTATGGGATGATATTTTTATCCTCTCATGGCACAACTAAAATTCTCCACCCATTAAAAAAAGTTAAACTAAGAAAAAGAAAAGCAGAAGTACAAACTGTATTTAAAACCAGCAGCAGAGCAATGAGGTAATCACAACACTTTTATGAATATTGAGAAGTAGAATTTTGTCAAAAAAAAGGCATTAATTCCCAAAGGCTGCTCATATTCCATTTGTGGTAGTACAAATTGACATTAATCAAATAACAAATGTGTACACATCTATGTAAAGTATTCTCAAATGAGAATTATAAATGTTGATAACTTATTTCTCTGCCTTGCCTACTATTTCCCATATATCCAGAGAATTTTATCTAAAGACATGTGCAAACTATAAGAATAAAAGCTTGCCAGGACCGGTTTGGCTCAATGGATAGAGCGCCGGCTTGGGGACTGAAAGGTCCCGGGTTTGATTCCGGTCAAGGGCATGTACCTTGGTTGCGGGCATATCCCCAGTAGGGGGTGTGCAAGAGGCAGCTGATCGATGACTCTCTCTCATCGATGTTTCTAACTCTCTTATCTCTCTCCCTTCCTCTCTGTACAAAATCAATAAAATATATTTTTTTAAAAAAAGAATAAAAGCTTAATATGCTAATTAGACCAGACAGCCAAACGATCTTCTGGACATCCTTTTAGATGAAGCCACAGTGGTGGGGCTGAGGCAGAAGTGGTTAGGTTGCAATCAGGCAGGCAGGCAAGCAGTTAGGGGCAATTAGGCAGGCAGGCAGGTGGGCAGAGTAGTTAGGGACAATCAGGCAGGCAAGCAGGCAAGCAGTTAGGGGTAATCAGGCATGTTAGCAGAGTGGTTAAGAGCAATGAGGCAGGCAGAAGCAGTTAGGGGCGATCAGGCAGGCAGGTGAGTGGTTAGGGGCAATGAGGCAGGCAGGTAGGCAGGTGGTTAGGAGCCAGCAGTCCCAGATTGCATGAGGGTGCAGGCTGAGCTGAGGGACACCACCCGCCCAACTGCACAAATTTCATTCACTGGGCCTCTAGTTTGAGTATAAAGAAACATTTTTAACAAGACCCATAGGTCCCAACATAACCCCACCTGGAAAAGTACTAAAGCAACATGATGAATGACTGGGGCAAAAATGTACAGAGCTACAAATTCCACCCATTGGCAAAATGGACCCTCTGGAAAATAACAACTTATCTAGAAAATCTTATGGCGAGGGTTGAGGTGTCTATATATCCAGGTTGAGCTACTCCTTTATACTTCCAAGTCTCAAACACGTGGGGAACTAAAGCATAAGGACTGTTTCTTGTATCTCTATTTAAGTTAATATTCAATGGATACTATACTAAAATAAAAGCCTGCTATGGCAGAGAAGACAATACAACTGTTTTGACAATGCAAATATGAGCTTCTGAAAAGAGCACAGCCAAAGTGACTATATTTTTCCTTTTTGTTTTAACTGAAATCCATTCATTATATGGTTATTTACTGAACACCTACAAAGTGAGAGGTCTGAAGCTAGGAGCCAATGAGAAATACAGTATAAACTATTCTTTATAAGGCTTTCTTAACTTAGGACACTTTTAAGCTGGTTTATCAACAAATAATGCTACCTGGATAATTCAATTTCTCCATGTTTTAAAGTCTTTATTAAAAAAACAACAACAACAACAACAAAAAACTCAATATGTTCAAACCTGAGCCTGGCATATAATATAAATACTAGCTGCTATTATTATTAGCTTAATTATCATCTTAAGTCTTTAATTGTCCCTTCCCTGTCTATAATCAAAGCAGTTAAAAGTACTAAATAATATTTCTAACATCTAGTTTTTTTTTAATATGCACTTTATTTGAAACATTTAAATAAGCTGCTTCATATCTTAAACATATTGGTTGCCCCAAATTATGATTTGCATTCTATGCCCTTGTTAGGGGCTGAATTATGTCCCCTCAATATTCATATGATAATGTCCTAACACCCAGTGTACTTCAGAATGTGACTATTTGGAGATAGAGCCTTTGAAGATATAATTATGGTAAAATGAGTTCATGTGAGTGGACCCTAATCCAATATGTCCTTATAAGGAAAGTCGATATAACACAGACACACACAAAGGGAAGGAAAGCTACATGAAGACACTGGGGGGAAAAGGCCATCTACAAGTCAAGATGAAAGCCCCTCAGAAGAAACCAACACTGCCTTGATTTTGGACTTCCACATCCAGAAATGTTAGGAAATAAGTTTCAGTTGTTTAAATCTTCCAGTCAGTAGTATTTTATGAATGGCAGTCCTAACAAACTAATACAGCACTAGAAAAAAAGTTATTATCAACCAAAAAATAAAATCACAATGTGGGGAGAATTTATTTTAGCAAATACCATTTTAATATTTAATATACATCTATTTCCACACTGTAAGACTGAGCCAAAAGCAAATTATGTAGGTAACATCTACTTCTGTACCATACTATTATAACATGCAAATTATTTAACAGGTTCTTTTAAAATTATTTTTTTTAAAACATCACACATACCTTTCACCTAAATTTTAACAAAGGTAAAAACTAATCTCTTAATTATTTGGTTATTAACTCAAAGAAAAGTGCTATGATGAACAGTGGAATGCCTCCACAATTAAGTTTAGTAAGAAAATTCTAGTATTCTAACATAAAAGGCAAATTTAGAATAGTCTTTATAAAGATTAATAAGTAAAATGTTTTTAAAGTACAAATACTTATTTTCATCAGTTATACTTTGTTATGAACTAAGACCATTTCAAAGAATAGTTTATCATGAGTTTTCACAAAAGAATCACAGTGACTGATTAATCCATTTTGCCTTCAACACTTCATTTCCCCTTCAATAATCATTCCAAAAATGCGTCAGAGCCACTTAAGTGAGCCAAAATAAAAGCTTGGAGATGTCAAATTAAAAGCCTTCCATAAAACTCATCTATAACAGAGACTAATATCACAACAATATAGCACAATTAATGAAGACTGAACTGAAAGACAGCCTCTTACAGCATTCAATATTGAGTAATATAACAGTAGATTAGTTTTTAGTGCTCTTATACAATAGAGTAATCAAGTATTCCCTTTTACACTGAATTGGCTCTTTCTTTTTCGAAATTACTGTGAAACTACAATTGTATATTATCATGTGCCCAATCAGAAAGATAGTATTTTATAAAAAGTTCTATGGGGTAAATTTTTGTGACACATAACATAGTTTTACCTCTAGATTTAATCATTTTAGGACAATGAAGTTACAAACTGATTTACTTAAGTGGTCAATTCATAGCCTTTTTCTTTCCCTTAAATGTACTTTAAAATGTAACCATGGCTAGCACAGCATGAATACCTTCCCATTTAGTCTTTTGCATTCTAACAACACTATCATCTATAAAACAGCTTATTGCTATTTTAAATAAATGGGTAAATATTTAAAACAAAGAATACATAATTATAAGTTCTATAAAGCAGGCATAATTCCAAATTTAATATTACATTATCACAAAAAATTTAAGTTCTAAAATATACAACTAATTAAGTTGAAAACTCTATTGCTTGCTTTTAATATGAATAAATAAACACCTATTAATTGCTCAGTGGATAGAGCGTGGGCCTGCAAACTGAAGGGTACCAGTTTTGGTTCCAGTCAAGAGCACATCCCCAGTTGGGGGGAGGGGGGGTTGCAGGAGGCAGCTGATCGATGTTACTCTCTCATCGATGTTTCTAACTCTCTATCCCTCTCAATTCCTCTCTGAAAAAATAAAAAAAATATATATTTTTTTAATTGGATTCGTGATCTAGCTTCAAAGTCTAGAGACTGTGTAGAGATCTGATCCTCTTAAGGAACACTTAAGTTTTATTTGGTTCATTAGCATACACAGTATCACCCTTAGGATCTAGGCAAGAGTGCCCCACTCTTGAGTTCTGGACTTTGGAGGGATCTCCCAATTCATCCTCTGAAAACATCTTTTTCCACAAGATAAATCCACAGGGCAAAGAATGTGCCAATTCAGAGCCTGCCATCATCCTCTGCCCTGATGAGTACCAAGGCCAAAGAATCTGTGTCAAAACAACCCTAAGCAGGCTTCTAGAGTTTCCACTGTCAGGGCAGTTAACCTTGCAGGTAATAACTTCCCCAGCCTGAACACTGGCCAAGAGGCTGCCATTTGTAGGGTGTGGAAAGAGTGTTAGTATGTCTGCAAGAAGGGCCCTTCTAGTTTACAAGAGGACCAGTTGAGGGGGAGAGGGTTTGGGCTGCCCCACAGGTTGACTCCCCCCACACACACACTACCACATTCCTGTGGGGAACTGGAACCCCAGCAATCTAAATCCACACTTGGCCTTCCAGATCACTGAGCTACTTCCCAAGGCAGGAGGAAAGGGCCTATTTAATTTAGCAATGTATTAGTTTTACTTATAATTATTAAATGTTTAGACATAGAGTCTGAGGGTCTCCCCGTGTCATTTTGTCTCTGGACTTGGAAATATTAAATGCAGGTCTTAGAAACATGCCAACCTAAACTTCAAACTAGTTAATTCTCATGATCTAGCACCTGGTTTGAAACCTACAACAGCAAGAGTTCAATAAGCACTTGAAAAATGAATGATGACATTT